CTGGTTATTGATTTGTTCTCTTCAATTTCATGTTTTTTTTCTTTAACTAGGTAAAGAATGTCACCTGGTCCAAGCTGTACAAGGTCAGACTCCCCAATCAGTAGAAGTGCGTATATATGTGAGCCCTGAAGCAATTTGAATGTGTTTGAATATTCTTTGCTTCATTGCAAATTGATCTAAAATTTTTTTCTTAAAAGGAAGCCAGAAATCCAATGGAACAGCTCAAATTGCAACTTAAGCTATAGATTTTTTTAAAAAAAGTATGAAGCTGTTAAGCTGGAACAAGGCAGAAGCATCAAAGAGACTCCCAACTAACTGAACAGTCATTTCATTTGGTTCCTGTCCCCAACAGGAGCAGCCTGAAGCCACCCCACAGATCCCTGTTCTTCTGCATCTGACAATCTAGGTACCAGCAGGACATTTTCCAGCCTGATGTAGTCAGGAGTGAGTTTGTCTCGGGAGAGGAACTTCTACGCCCTGGCAAGGTCTGGAAAACTGGTCACTTTCAGTACTTCTTGCTATAAATGAATTGTCTTGGTTGGTGTACAAATGGAATTACGAACCTGGAAGTATAGGGATATAGCTTTGACACTGTCACTAACTCACTGTGTGATTCTAGGTCAGTCCCTCCTCTCTCCTTGTGGGTCTGCTCACTTGGAAAATGAGAACAATAGGTAATATGGTCCAACAGGTCTGCAGGCCTGTAGTAGGCAGAATAATGGCCCCCAAAGATGTCCCTCACTCTGGAACCTGTGCATATGTGATCTTACATGGTAAAAGACTTTGCAGATGTGATTAAGTTCATAATCTTCAGCTGCGGAGATTATCCTGGATTATCTAGTGGGCCCAATGTAACCACAAGGGTCCTTTAAAAATGGAAGAGGGAGGCAGGAGAGAAGTCAGAGTTTGAGGGAGATGTTACTATGGAAGAAGGTTGGAGTTCTGTGCTATGAGAAGGACTCAGTCAGTCATGGGAGGCTTTGGAGCTGGAGGAATGGCCCAGAAGCCAAGGAATATGGGCAGCTTATAGAAGCTGGAAAAAGCAGAGAAATGAATTCTCCTGTAGAGGCTCCAGAAAAAAATAATGCCTCCTTGCTGACACCTAGATTTTAGCCCAATGAGGCTCATGTCAGACTTCTGACCTATGGAACCATGCGATGATACATTTGTGTTGTTTTAAGCACTAAGGTAGTGGTAATTTGCTATGGTAGTAATAGAAAATGATATAGTTCCTTTTTAAGCAACTTTACACCTAAGAATTAAAACCTTAGCTCTGCTAAAAGCGTGGGCAGACCCAGCTGAGAGGATACTTGGGAGGAGGCATCACAGGGTGCTGTCCCAGCTGCCTTTTGCAGTGCCCCCGAATGCTCCTGGCCACACTTGTACATTGAGTGTGACTGGTGTACCTTGTCCCACCAGGTTGGGGAGGCAGTGCTGTCATAGTACTTTGAGTCTGAAGGAGTATCAGGAGACCATCTCATGCTGCATCTTCCCTTCATACAGGTAAGGTATCATCTCCATCCAAAAACTGCGGGAGCTGAGCCCAGAGAGGTGCGGGCTTTCATCAGCTACTGAGAGAGGCTGTGGAGCCAGAGCTCCTAACTCCCGGTATGAAATTCTTTTCAATTTGTCACATTGGGGAAATAACTTTTCCCTGTGTTAGTGGGTCATGAAGGAGAGCTAGCTAGCTAGATGAGGAAGTGGATGCCAGAGCAGGGACCAGATCCCTGAACTGGCCTAGCCAGAACCTTCTGTGCATCTGTGCATTAAGGGAAGGCACAAGCCACATTAGGTCTTTCTTCACTGCTTTGGGGGAGACTTTGAGTTGGAAGTGATGGGCATCGATAGGAAGAGCAAAAAGTTAGGCTAAAGGAACTGTTGCAGTGGAATTAGCACGATGCCGCGGAACAGGGATTCTGCTTGAACAGGGATTCTTTCTTGCACCCAGAGGCTTAAAAGGGCATGCCCTGTCCCAGCTGCACAAAGGCACCTCCCAACCTCCCATCCCATCTGGACATCCTCTCAGGAGTCGTGGGGAGAAAGGCAGAGTGCACATGTGACCTCTGGAAGGATAAGGCACGTTGGTTTGCTGGTGGTGACAGAGTGGAGAGAAGATCAGAAAGGCTGGTGTATGGGAGGGAGGCCACACAGGGTATCTGTGTCTAGCCTGAATTCCCTGATGGGGTCAGGAGGAGCAGGGCAGTAGACAGCAGCGCAGAGAGATATGAAGGCCTCCTTTGTGGTTTCCAGGTCTGGGCAGTGTGCTTTACACCCTGTGCCTATGGTCTTGGGCAGTCCTTCAGAAGGTGGACCTGTGGCCTGTGTCTTGAAGGCATTTACAAGGTTGTGATCAACTGTTTTAAAAAAAATTCAGAACAGAATAAACATATAGAGTGTACACATTTTGTCAAGGTAAGTGTTGTTGCATAAAACTTTATATACACACAGACTGCAGATTTTTGACCTTGCAGGTCTGACCTTTTCCTAATCTCTCCAGAGAGAGTCCTGGATGTGGAGAAAAGGGAGAAATGACTCAGCCATTTCCACAAGACCAGCTTTTAATATGACCGTGATTGAAGCACGAATAAATAAACGCCAAAGAAAATGGAAAAATCAAACCAAACCTCAGAACATCAAAAAAAAAAAAGCATAAAACAACCCAAAACAAACCTCCAACGGACAAACATAAAAGCCCCCCAAATAAAAAAAAAGTCAGACTGCACAAGCTGTGTCATAGGGAGAGAAGAACGACATGGCACCATGGATGAACACGGGGACCCCCTGGCCACTGCGTTGCCATCATAGGCACTGGGGCGGAGGAGGAGAGGTTGGCGTGGTTCACCTTCAGCGCCGATGCCCCACGGGCCAGCTTGGGGGAGACGGGGTTTGTGGGCAGGTTAAGAACCTTCACAAACTACACAAGGACTGAATGTAGCAGAGAGATCTGCAGTTTCCCTCTTGTTTGTGCAGTTCTGATTCCAGGGTGGCCTCATGGTGACTTTGGAGCTGGAATCTGGTCCCACTGCCTGGGCAGCAGAGTGGATGCTGGAAACCGCATGGAGGAATGTCATGTACAAGACAGACGTGGAGGTGGCGCCGTAAGACGTCTGAGCATGCAGGTGCTTTATACATCTGGCAGTGAGATGTGATGGCAGGTTCGTTCTTGGACAGTTCCAGAGTGTGACTCATCTCTCCTAAGAGGGATGCATGGCAGGGCCCAAGGACGCATCATGTCAGACGTGGCCGGAGCGAGGTTTTGGCAGCTAGTTTGCAAGGTGTGCATAGGGGGCTCTTGCTTCCTTCCGGCGTCAGGGGCCATCCCACCTGAGGTTGCTGTCCCCTGTCCTGGGTCTTGGGCCTCAAAGTCAGTTTAGGGGGGTGCTCGTGGCCCAAGGGGTGTCAGCAGGCAATCTCCTCCAAGGTCCCCAGGGCCGTCTGCAGGGGCACATTCACAGTGTGGCTGATGGTTTCAGAGTGGTTTGGCATCGTGTCACATGTGCTCTGGAGGAAAGGAGACAGTGAGTGTTTATTATTTATTCAGCACAAATTGATTGCAATGCCACTGGCAACCCAGCCTAGACCCTAGGAAAAAAGCCCCCTCCTTCCGGGCTCTCCTGCTGCTCCTGCCCCGGACATGCTTGTTTGCCATCTTGGAGCATGAGACTGAACAGAATCCTTACCATTGTCCGCCTGAGTGCCCCCTAGGGCAGCGAGAGTGTTCCTTGGTGATGGGATTTAGCAGCAAGTTTGACCTCTCCTAGAGATGCTTCTAGAGGTGCCACCTGAACCTATATCTGAGTGGTCTCTAGCCTTGGGGATGGATAGCCCTGAGTCCTATCTTCTCTCAGGAGGCTTCTCTGGGGCGTTTTTTTGGTGGGGGAGGTGCAGCCTGAGGCAGAGAACGCCAATTGCTGAGGCCAAGGAGGAAGGGTGGAAGTCCCTAAAGGTCAAGATCCAAACTGGTCAGAGTTGCTCAAAGGACCTTTAGGATTAAACTGGCCCCGGGGCAATGAAGCTGTGGGTTCCAGAGCAGGGCAGGGCTGAGATGGCTCCACTTGAATCTTCAGGGTGGTTCCCAGGCTGTGGTGGGTGAGAGGCAAGACCGAATCCAGGTGGGCTGAGTTTGTGAAGGAGAATGATGGACAGACTAGAGAAGCTGCCTCTTGGGCTATGTGAAAGAGAGGCAGAGTAGGGCAGTGGTTAGAGGCACTTGGGGTGCAGCTCTGATACTTACCCACTGTGTGAGTTGCTCTCTGGGCCTCTAGTGCCTCAAATGCAAAATTGTACCAGGCATACAATAGGCAGTAATGGCAATAGGTATTATTGCTGCTATCACCCTTTTTCCTATGTCCCCTTCAAATGGGATGGAGTACCAGTGCTGACCCTACTTGCATTTGCCACCTGGGGGAATAAGGGAGTGGACTTACATAAAACTTCTCTTGTTCTCCCCAGCTGTGAGATGGGGGAGCAACCCTCTGGCCTGGGAGAAGCTGGACGGGGCCAGGCAGAACCTACTATTGGAAGCATCCACAGCTTACCCACAGGTTTGGGCTGAGTCTCAGAGACAGGCTCAAGGCTCAGTTGAAGTGTCCTTGAATTTGGGGACTGACAGGGTATCCTAACCATGGCAAGGTGTGCAGCAAGTGACATCCTTCCTACCTGGACCCAATATCTGGTTTCTTATGACCTGTCCAAGCCAGAGCAGTGAGACAACTTCCAACCCATGAGCTGCTCTTACCACGTTCTCATCGTGGCTCCCTTCATCCTCCTCTTTGCCAAGCAGGTCTAATAGCTTCTCTTTGATCAGCTGCAAGAAAAGCAGGACAGGGTTGGTCAGGCAGTGTTGGGAGGATGGCGCAAAGGTAAAGGAACCTCCCTCACTCAGCTTGGCAGGGAACCACTGAGGCAGGCAGGCGGTCAGCAACTGCCTGGGCTGGGGTGGGACATGTCGCAGCACTAGCCCAGCCTGGCAGCCAGTTCCTGGTACCCGTCTGCCTCAACCCAACCTTTTGGCTGAGATGGATTCTGTTTCAGGAGACAGGGCTTGGAAGGGGTAATGGAGGGCCATATCTCGCAGTGTGGACTGCTGTTTTTGTGGCTGGAGAGTGCAGGTAAGCGGCCTGTGCTGGTATAATCTACTCCCTGTCTGTCCTCAGGAGCAGCCTGGGATCCCCTTTTTGAGACTGGGCTTGGGGGACAAAAGTTATTATTTACTTTCTAGGCCTGACAGCTGCACAGTTCACAAAATCAGGACATACCTGTGTTTATAACATTTTATTTTATTTTATTTTTGTAGAAAGACTCTCATTATGTTGCCTGGGCTGGTCTCAAACTCCTGACCTCAAGTGATCCTCCAGCCTTGGCCTTACAAAGTGCTAGGATTATAGGTATGAGCCATCATGCCCTATGTTACCTGGTATGATTCAATTGCCATAATTATGTATAGCTATTCACCAAAAATTAATAAAGCAGGATAAAGTGTGGCCATGAGACTGAATGTGAGTGTGGGGACGCCATGCTGAGAAGCGCGTGATTCTCTAGAGGGCCCTGGTCACAGTCCCCATAGTGATTCCCAGCAGCCTTTGGTCATGGGCAGCCCTCTCTGGGAGGCAGAGCACTCCTCGGCAGGCCCCCATTTGCTGCACCTAAACTCACAAGGTCCAGGGGATGTCACAGATCCAGGCAAGCCTTAGGATTCCTAGAGCCCCTGTCTTTCTCAGGGGGCACGTTGAGGTGAAGTGTATTGTCCACCTCATGACCAGGGCAATAGAGGAAACACCGAGACAGGACAGAGCCTGGCATAGACCCATGCACAGACTTGTTCTCACAGGGAGATGAAGGTAGGAAGGTAGATGAAGGCCAGGAGCCCTCAGTTCCAGAAGCTGCTATCTGTGGTTTGAGAAGCTTTCAGAGGCTTTGTTCTAGCTGCCTCTGGAGGGAGACATCTCCCCAGACTGTTAGCAGCCGGAGTGGCTGGTGTACCCTGCTGTCTTTTCATTCAGGATTGGTGAGGATTCCTGGGAAATGCCCCCTCCTAAGACCGGCTGGGCCACAGAGGATGCTACTCAGGTGGGTCACCTGGATGGCAGGTATAGGTGTATATGCGTGTTGTGTGGATGAGTGCTGTGTGTGCAGCTGTGGTCACACCCATGGATCATGCCATGACCTCCAGCCTAGCTGTAGGAGGGGCACAGAGCTGGCCTCAGCACAGTCTGATCCCCTTTCTCCTCAACCTTCTTCCTCCCTCCCTGCCAGTGTAGATAGCCCAATGCTCTTCCAGCTACCTGAGGATAGGCCTATGGCTTATGTTTCTCTTACATCCCCCTCACCTCGGAATACTCCCCTCCCCTTGTGCCCCTCATGTCTGGGATTCAGTGGTCAACAGTGTTGGTGGACAGAAGGAGGAAGCAGGCTCTGGGTGAGCGGAGTCCATCACCTCCCCCAAGCCACAGTTCTGAACATGGGGGCAGGATGAGGGCACCAGCACACTATCATTTCCCTGTGAGCAATCCCAAATCTTACCTCATAAATGTAATCAAAGAGCTCTAGTATTGTAAGGATACTAGCACCAATAAACAATCCCATCTGACCACCAATATCACCTGGAGAGAGAGGGAAAAGACCAAAGATTTAGTTTTACTCACACAGCTTCCAAGAAGAGAGGAACAAAGACTGAACTCAGACCTTCTGAATGGTTCCCCCTCCATGGGAAGCCTAGGCTTTGTCAAGGGAAGGCCAGGCCCTTGACAGCTCCCTCCCTCAGTGCATAGCTCTGAGAGCTGGCGTTTTTTCAGTACTCAGTGGAGTTGGGGACTAACCTGAATGCCTATTAGAGGGGCTTAGAATTGGCCCCACGATGCACAGGAATAATGGGCTTGTTTAGTTATACTCAGGGCACACGGATTTGGTCCTGCTTTGACTTGGCCTGGGACTAGGGATACAGGTTATGTGTGGTTCTTGCCCTGGGCAAGGGCACAGGCCACCCTGAGATGCTTGTGTCCAATGCCCTGGGCAGGAGTCTCTAGAACAGAGGTACCACAGCAGCCGTCCCCACTCCCCATCATAGCATAGCCTTCAGGATTACCTTGGGGTACCTCCCACCCTTAGGATAAGGTCACGGGTGTTCCCTATCTCCCCTACCCAAAGGTAAATATTCAATTGGACTTTTTTTAGAGCTGAGGTTCTTACTTTGGGGTATGTGGACCCCCCTTGGCCCTTGGCCAAACTTTTTCCGAATTCATCTCCAGATCTGCCTGCATCCAGCTCTCCTGGGAGACCTGTCATCAGTCTGTGGTGGGTGAGAGGCAAGACCGAACCCAGGATCTACCTTAGACCTTTAGAAATCAGAGTCTCCGGGGTTGGGGTCTGGATGTCAGAATTTTTAAGTTTTTTTGTATGTGTATAAGGGAGGGGGCTGTTCTTAGGCCCACCAGAGTTTGAGAACCACTCTGGGAGGGCATTAGATGGCTGGAGACCCTCTTGAAGTTGAATGCAAAATGTTGTGCACCTGGGTATTTGTAGCAGGAGAGTCTGTAGCTGTTATCAGATTCTCAAAAGGGTTCTGATCCCTGCAAGCTTAAGGTGCTTTGTTCCAGAGGCAGGGTTGGGGAGTAGCAGGCTTGGAGGCTCGGGTCTGCAGAGTGGCCATCAACTGGTTGTGTGGCTGGGATAAGCTCTGACCTTCTTCGGTAGCTTTGTTTTCAAAGGACATTTGGTGGTGGTGGCGGGTGGGAGAGAGCTGGAGGAGATGAACTGTGGGGTCCTTTCCAGCCCTAATCTCTAAGACTGTTGCCTCTGGAAAGAGGGGTGGGAATGGAGGGTGCCGTTGGGGGTGGCTGCACTGTCCTGTTGGAGATGGCAGGCTAACCTATTGGTCTGAGAACTCTCTGAGGGGAGATCCACCCCACTCTACCCCTGCTTATGGCTCAGTGGGGCTCAGCACCCACATCCCCAGGTGAACCACAGAGACAGTGGGAAGGGGGCTTTTCCCTGAGGGACTTGGTGTTGGGTTCAAAATAGCTTCTCCTCACTCCTTTCCTCCCTCACGGCTCTCTCTAATGTTTTTAATGGAGGCTTCTTGGGGGTTGTGTTCTAATGAATGTACATGTCAGGTGTGAGGTGTGTGTTTGCATGTCTGTGCAGTGTGAGTCTGTAGTAGTATACTGAGGGGTAGGTGCCAGGGTGCAGAGTACATGCGCACGTATTTGTATAGAAACAGGTAACATGTTTGGTCACTGACGGTTTTATGTAGATGGCTATCCCTGTCTGAGTTAGGCACACTGAGTGTATCTGCATGTATGTAAGTGTGGGTTTGTAGAAGAGGGCAGAATGTGTCTGAGGGTGTAGCACATGTGTAGAGCGGTGTGGGTGTGTTTGTGTGTTTATGTGAGCATGTGTTTGGGTAGGTGCATATAATGTGTGCACGTGTGTAGACATATAGTGTGTCTGCCTAGTTGTGCTGTGTGTACAGGTATGGCTCTGTGGTTGTGTGAGTGGCATGTAGGGCTCTGCAAGTGTGCATTGGTGTATGTGGGCCTTGGACCACCATGGTTGTATGAATCATAGGTTTGGAGCATGTGTGTGCAGGTTGGACTACGGTGCACTGTGGGTAGTAGTGTGTGTGCCATGCAGTGTACATGGGTGGTGATGCCAGGCCTTGTGGCACTGAAAGAAGGGTCTGCTGGGGCCTGATGGCTGAGGGTTTACAAGCATAGATGCTGTCATCACAAGAAGTCCCCATGGCAGCATGATCTCCTCAGCCGGCTATTCTGGGTGGGAACATAATGCTGGGGACTAGCTTATCTTCATATCTGATGCGACAGATTTGGAGCTCAGGACCTCCTTGTGCATGCGCTCTCTCTCTCTGTGTGTGTGTGTGTGTGTATGTATGAAAAGAGAGAAAAAGACTGTGAGCGTCTCCTTGGGGAGAGAAGAGGAGAGGCATGTCCTGAGTCTTCTTTAGAAAATAAAGGTCAGAGACAGGACAGGTGGCAGGGATGGGTCAGGGGGCCTGTATCTCCAGTGTATGACCTCTAACATGGGGCCCATGACTTGAGTCTTAGGCTCAGTGCCTTTGGCCACAATGACCACTGAGGCTGAGTGATAGCCACCTTAACCTAGCTAAGACTGAGCCATGGCCCAGTCACCCAATTGAGCCCTGGAACCATGATGTGGTGACTGTCTGGGTGCCAGAAATGATTACTACTACTTATGGACCTTCTCTGAACTGGGGGCTTTATTACATTTAACCATCATAACGAACTCATAAAGTGGGTTTTATTAAACCCATTTTGCAGACAAGGGGCCTGAGGTTCAGCAAGGTGAAACCACTTGCCCATATTCTTGCAGCTGGTATGCAGCAGGCCTTGGATTTAAAGTCAGCTCTTTCCTCTGTACTTCCAGATAAGTAGGCATCTGCCCCCCCAGGATGCTACTGTCCCTTGGTTCAGCTCCCTGGTTCAACTCCTGAGACAACAGCTATTTCTCCCTGCAGGGCACAGGCATCCAATCCTTTCTTGAGAGTGAGTGGGAGTTGGGAGCAGAACTCAAGGGGCAAGTCCTTTAACTGTTTACTCTTAGGGGTCTTGTGGGGTTTTTTTTTTTTTTTTTGAGTTGGAATCTCACTCTGTCACCCAGACTGGAGTGCAGTGGCTGCTCCTGGCCACCACAGCCTCGACCTGTTGGGCTCCAGCGATCCTGCCTCAGCCTTCCAAGTAGCTGGAACTACAGGTGTGCACTACCACGCCTGGCTAATTTTCTTTTTGATTTATTGTAGAGCCAAGATCTCGCCAAGTTGCCCAGGTGAGTCTTGAACAGCTTTGGGAGGCTGAGGTGAGTGGATTGCCTGAGCCCGTGGGTTCGAGACCCACCAGGCTGAGCCACCAAGCCTGGCCGGTCTTGTGAGTTTTAGGCTGGGCTGGGACAGGGTTGAAATAAACTTCCTGTATCCATTATGAACCAGTAGGGCTGGGGCGCGCATGTGAACTTGTGTGGATATCTGGGGAGAGTGACCCTTCATTTGTGTTTGACAAAGGACTCAGTCTAGGGCAACACTTGTCCATCTCAAAGCAGCAGTGGTACTTTCCAGGTGAAGTTCCATCCGGCCCTGACAGTGCCTCGCCTTGGGACCACCCACATGCCAGCCTTCCCTCCTCCTATTGCTCTTCCCTCCATGTGTGACCCCAGGATTCTGATTCCACCATGGACTTCAAGAGGGCAGGGCTAGAAAGGCCCAAGAAACCGCTAGCTCACGCTCCTCATTGTATAGGTGGGGAAACTGAGGTCTAGATTAGGGAATGAACTGAGCCTGAAATCTCCACCACACTGGAGTTCTTCCCATTCTGGGACAGGCGAAGTACAAGGAAAGGGGAAGTAATTAGTAAATTAGATGGCTAGACGCCTCAGGAGGCTTAAGTATCTACCTGTCTGCCTGCCTCCCCTCCTACCTGTGTGTCCTCCCTCCCTCCCACCCTCTATGCCATGTGGAAATTTATGCAATAGACACCGACTTACCAAGTAAGGCAGCAACTTCATACGCCTTCTTCTGCTCAATTGTCTCGTAATTGAGAGCTTCGAAAAATATATCCAGAACAAGGATGTTCTCTCTGCACAGGAAATATTCAGTACCATACATGGTTAGAACCATCAACATTCACAGGGAACCTCTAATACAGGTCTCCCATAGAAATATGGAGAAACAGAGGCCCAGGAAGCAAGGCAACTTGCCCAAAGTTAGAGCTGGTTAATGACAGAGCCAGAGCTTGAAACCAAAAGTCCTAACTCCCAGCCCAGGGCTGGAGGCCTATATCAGATGCCCTCTTCTGCCCCTTATTTCTGTCTCCCCCTCTCTCTTTGCACCCTTTCTGGGAGTCCTGATGGCTTCCAGGTCTTTCAGCCCCTACAGGGCCTGCCCAGGTCCTTTGCAAGAAGGTGAGTTCAGTCATCTGACAAGGATTGCCTTGGTTGGGGTGCCTGTCCCAGCTGACCTCCTGGGTGGCCACACCTCTCTCAAATTCCTACTAGGATTGATAGCAAGTTCCTCCTGGTAAGAGGCCCTGTCCAGGCATTGCTGAGGCAGTTGCCAAAATCAGGGCCAGGGGCTTTCTGCCAGAAGCATGGTGGCTCACTCTGCTCCTTCGGGCAGGTGTGTGAGTGAGACACATCTTGGCAGCAAAATTCCTTACTGCCTGTGGACTGCTGAGCAGCGGGACCTGGCATCTCCTACAATTCCCATCTCCTTCAGTGCTGCTCACAATGCCCCTGGTGCCCCTTGTTCTCAACTCACTGGGCAAAAGCTGTCCCAGGAGGGGACTGGGGATGGTGCTGGCAGGAGGGAGTGACTGGGGAAGAGAGGAGCAGATTCTTCTGTCTCCACGAAGTGCTCGCTCATGGAGGACCCATTCGGAGTATCACCATCCTTGCCTAGAGTATTGTCACTGTCTCCTAACAGCCTCCCTTCTTCCTGGCTGGCTCCCACCCGCCGTCTATACTGCCGCCTGAAGGAGATTTCTAATACCACAAAGTTAATTCATATTAAATAAAAATCACAATTCTGTTCTTCTGCCATGCAGGCTGCATTTCAAGTGCTCGACAGCCACAGGGAGGCTACCCTCTTGGGCAACACAGATATGGAACATTTCCATCATCACGAAATATCTGTCCCACTGGAGAGCAGTGGCCAAAAATGCAAATCTGAGACTGTCACCTCTGAGAGCTCTTCAGTGGCTTTCTGTTCTTTTGGGGTAAGTCCACCCCCGGTACCCTGCACACCCTGCCCATGTCAGCTTACAAGACTCTCTTGCTCTGACACGTTCACCTTCCCCCTCAAAGTCCTCTTGTCTGCCCTATGCGGATTCTCTCTGCTGAGCCTCTGCCTGGGACACCCTTTTCTTCCATGCCCTTCATTCCTTTATTCTGCGAAAACATACTTTGTGAGCACTGACTCTATGCCAGACACTCCACTAGTACTTGGTTGACAGCAGAAAACAAAAAAGAGGTTCCTGCCCTCAGGGGGCTTTCAATCTAGTGATCAGACAGGTAATAAACAAGGAGACACATCATGAATATATAATTACACACTGTGGTGTTAGAAAGGAAAGCATCTGAGTATTTCGAGAGAAGAATAACAGGAGGAGACCAAATCTAGATGCCTGAGATGACATTTAATTAAAGATCTACTTAATGAGGAATCACTTAGGTGGAGAGTGGGAGGAAAAGCATTCCAGGCAGAGGGAACAGAATGTGCAAGGTCTGCCTAGGAAAGCTACATCCTTTAAAAAAAAGATCTCTGAAGCTTTCCCTGACCTCACCTTCTGCGAGCTGCAAGTAACTCATTACTTTCTCATACACTACACTACACATGCCTCTATTATAGTCAATGTCACCCCACATGGCATTCCATCATGTACTTGCCTCCCCAAAAGACTGCAAGATCCTTAAAAACAGAGGCTGCGTCAGACTCATCTTTGCCTTTGTATCCTGAGCACTGAGCGCAGAGCTTGGCATACAGAAGGTGCTCAATTAATGTTTGCAGAATTGAACCAACTGCTTACCTTTGCCTTTCTCCTTGATTGCCCCTGATTTCTTCTAGATCCATCTCCCTCTTCCCCTGCCCACCATGCTCACTTAACTTACGAGATATATTTTTCTGATTTGTTAAATTTCTTCTCAAGGTACTTGGCGGACGTCTTGCTGGGGATCTTCACCATGGAGAGCTCTTTGTTGTAGCGGGTCAGGTTGCAGGGCGTCCTACAGAGACAGTAATTGCTGTCCTTTTCTGCCAGCAGACCTGGAGGGGAGACAGAGGCGGCTTTAGGCAGGTGGAAGGACTGGGACTTCTGGGCCTGGAGTGGCAGGATTCTAACAGCTGATAAGTGAGCTGGGAGGATTTTGGGGAGAGGGGATTTTGGAGAGAGGGGAACCATGCTTTTGCTGCAGATTGGCCTTGTTTTGCTTCTGCTTCCTTCCACTGTCATGACACTCTTTAGATATTGTTGAAATGTCACCTTTTGGAGAATGGGTTCCCAGCGAGTCCTGGTCCCCTCAACTTTCCAGGGCTTTCTTCTGTGCTCCTAGCCTCTGTGCTCTCATCCATACAATGGGCCATCCCTCAAAGCAGACACAGGAAACCATTAACCTGAAACTCAGGGCTCCGAGGGATTCCTACAGAGGGTCCCTCATAGCCAGTGCTCACCTCCTCTGCCCACTGGGTTAGGATGTGGGCAAAGATCTGCAATTCCTTTCTCTGGTGGTGACCTCCCCACCTCTGGAACCCTCCCTTTCCTCTCCTCTCTTCTTCCAATTAGATGAGGTGGTTTAAGGCATCATTTCTTTCTGACAAAGACTCCCCTTGTTCAGACTTTAGCCAGACTCTTCTGAGCCTTGTTCTTGACTAGGTCTTGACCTTGGCCCCCATCCTTGCTGGGGCTACCTAGCTCAGTTTTAGCAAGCTTCCTGCTAAAGTCAGTTTAGGGAGAATCCCCTGTCCTTGATATCTGATCCCTCTGGCCTAACCTTGATGTCTCCTCTTGGTAATTTTCCTTTTACTGACCCCTGGCTCTGCCTAACAGCCTTGAATCCCAGCTGTCTGCTGTATTCTGAGTCAAGCCCCATCTCTCTCCCCTAGTGTGATCGTCTCAACACTTGTTGCAATAGTCCTAAATAAAGTCTTCCTTACTGTTTTAATGAGTGTCAGAATTTTTTTTTTTTTTTTACACCCTTGCTCCTCTAGCTCTGCCTCAGTGTTTCTGGCCGCCCTTGGGTTTTGTTGATCTTTGCACACATCTGAAGTCACTCCCTCTCCTCTCTGACCAGCCTCCCTCTCTAATCCTCCTGGAGGCATTTGGACCTGAGACCAGCACAACTCCACTTAGCTCCAGCTGAATGGACTTGAGTGCACGTTGTTTGAACATTCTGCTTGTCTTGATTGCGAACCACTTCCTGGGTCTGGAGAGAGGCAGGCACTCAGAGCAGGTCTAGCTCTGGGATCGCTCCTTGTTTGTGCAATGTCACTCCCTTGCAGTTTTCCAGCTGGGGAGCCAGCGGACTTAATCTAACCTGCAGACCCCCAGCAGTCCTCTTGGGGAGCAGGTGCGGTCTGTGCCTTCTGTTTGCACACATGGAATGCAAACCTGGCCTCACCCCCTTCCCCCATCTCCCCTGAGCTCCACAGAACATTAGAAAGACGGAACTTTGGACTAACCTCCGCCTCCTCATGTGGTCACACCAGAGGGTGTGAGGGGAGGTGTTGCCAAGCTCCTCTGGTGCCCACCCTGCCCATTGTCCATCCCTTCTGTCCCTGTCTTCTCCCCTGCATTCCTTAGCATTCTCACTTCCCCCCAAACTCACTTTATCTCCATGTCTCCTCCTCTTCCACAGTCCTACTTCCAGCCCTCATCCACTTCCACCAATTCTCTTCCCAATCCTATTCTTCCTCCTCTCCATCTCCTCCTGTCCCTGCAGCAACTCCATCCGGCCTGCCTCTTTCCTCTCATCTCCTCTCCTCCGTTCCGTCTTCTACCTGATCTCTCCCCACACCAAGATATCTCCATGATCTCAGTCTCAGGCCCCTTCCTCCCATCATTCCATCTGTCTTCCCAGTACTGACCTAGGGCAGGCTCTGCACACTCCTTGTGCTGCTCAGGGGTGCAGAAAGGGGCATCCCCTGCAAAGAAGAAACATGAGGGAGAGTCACTCTGGCAGGAACATTCATGTAAGTAACACCTGCCCAGCTTGGGTTGTGGAAGGGATACTGGGAGGGCAAAATCAAAGTGTTGACAGGTCTACATTCTTTTCTGGAGGTTCTAGGCCTTGCCTTCCTTGCCTTGCCTTTTCCAGCTTCTAGAAGCCACTCTCCACAGTCATTGGCCACTCACATGCCTCCATATTTAAAGAGAACAAAATTGCATCTCTCTGACCCTTCTTTAATAGTCACATCTCCCTGTGACCCTAGCTGGGAAAGGGGCATTGATTTTAAGGACCCATGTGAATAGATGGGCTTCACCTGGGTAGTCTCCCATCTTAAGCTTGGTAACCTTAATCATATCAGCAAAGTCCCTTTCGATGGGGGCAATTTTATAGATAGTCTCACTCTTAGATGACTATGGAAGTTGATTTCAGCATGGGTTATAGCATAAAAAAGTTAGTAATTAACTGAAGTCCCAATATAATAATTAGCTAAATAAAGTATAATATAACCATGAAATAACAGCCATGAAATATCACAGCAATATTCCCGACACTTAGTAACATAGCTTTTGGTTCCTTCTTCCCATGTGCTAATATAACAGTCAGTGACTTTGACAGTTTACAATGCATTTTTATATCCGAGCTTAACTTTATCTTCATAGCAACTGATGGCATGTTTTAAAGATAATGAAGGTGAGAACAGAGAGGTTTAGTAACTTGTACCAGGTCATAGAGTGAGTGAGTGGAGGAATTAGAAGCTGAGCCCCTGCCTTCAGCCCCAGTCATTCACCCATGCTGCAACACCAGGCTCTTCCTGCCCACACCAGTTCCCGGCTCTGAACTCTGGCCTCTGACATGCCAACAGCCACTAATGAGATGGCCGTCTGCGTTATTATATGACAACACAAGTGTCAGCACACACACACATTTGTTTGCTGGCTAATAGACTTTTGCCTTATTTGAAAGAGTTAGACATTTGGATGCAAGAAGGGAAACAGCTGGATGAAAGCAGCAAACATCTGGATACTCAAACATTCACCACTCCAGGATGCAAGTACTGCAATCCTCCAGTTATCTGTACACTAAACTCTAGGAGGTGAGAGCACCAAACAATTGCCAAATGCTGGATGTTGGGATGAAGAGTCTCCAAACACTAGATGCTTCTAGACACCAGGAGGCTGCCTTGGTTGCTGGAGTGAATGTTTCTATCTGCCCCCTAAATGTTTAGGCACAAATAACAGTCTTCCCAGAAAAACGTCCCTTTGAATCATAGCGGAATAGGTGAAGTGTTTCCTATCAGAGTGAGAAATGCCAAGAAGGTCCCAGATAGTCCTGCCCTGTGACCACCCCTGCCCTGGCACTGACCTGGCATGTGGACCATGCGGCAGTTGCAGTTTTCCACGATGTAGCGGGTCTCACAGTCAATCCTACAAGCGGTAATACTGTAAACAGGAAAGAAGTCGAGTCCCATCTCTGAGGATCGGCATTCACCCCACGGCGGGGGCAGGTATGTGAGCTGCAAGACAGGAAGGAGGGAGTGGCCCGGGTCAGTTCTGGAGGATGCTGCTTGTTCAGCCTCAACAGACTCAGTGGTTCATTCATTCATTTATTCAGTCAGTGAACAATTATTGAGTATCTACCACATGGCAATCTAAACTCTATTGACTTTATAGGCTCCAATACCAGTGTTCTTACTTTATCTTTTTTTCTTCTTTCCCTTTTTCTTTTCTTTTTTTTAGAAAGCAGGATTTATTGAGAGGACAGAAAAGCTCCCACAGTGGGAGGGGACCCGAGGGTTGCCCGTTTCTTTTTTTTTTCTTTTTTTTTTTTTTTGAGTAGGAGTCTCACTCTGTCACCCAGACTGGAGTGAAGTGGCCACTCCTGGCCACCGCAGCCTTGACCTGCTGGGCTCCGGTGATCCTTCTGCTTCAGCCTTCCAAGTAGCTGGAACTACAGGCGTGCGCTACCATGCACGGCTAATTTTTTGATTTATCGTAGAGATGAGGTCTCACCAAGTTGCCCGGGCAGGTCTCGAACCCGCGGGCTCAGGCAATCCACTCACCTCAGCCGCCCAAAGTGCGGGATTACAGGCTGAGCCACCGAGCCCGGCTAGTTCATTCTTTTTACATTGCTGTTTTTTGTTTTTTTTTTTTTGAGTTGGAGTCTCACTCTGTCACCCAGACTGGAGTGCAGTGGCTGCTCCCGGCCACCGCAGCCTCGACCTGCTGGGCTCCGGCGATCCTTCCGCCTCAGCCTTCCAAGTAGCTGGAATTACAGGCTGCGCTACCACGCCCGGCTGATTTTTTTTTTTTTTGATTTATTGCAGAGATGAGGTCTCGCTGCCCAGGCGGGTCTCGAACCTTCAGGGCTTAGGCAATCCACTTACCTCAGCCTCCCAAAGGCATGGGATTACAGGCTGAGCCACCGAGCCTGGCTACGTTGCTGTTTTACTTCTTCCTTCTTAGTTTTTGTTCTTTTTAATTTTTTTCTTGCCTTGCTGCATTGGCTAGAAACTTCTAATATAATGCTGGAGGAACTGGAGAGGGTATCCTTGGCTTGTTCCCAATTTTACGAAGAAGGGTTCATTATTTCACCATTCAATATGTTAGTCATATATTTTTCTTAGATGCCCTTGTCAAACTGAGGAAGTTCTTTCCAAATTCTTGTTGGCTGAGTTTTTATTTTTATCATCATTGGCTACTATATTTTGGCAAACATATTTTCTGCTTCTACTGAGATAATGGCATACTTTTCCTCCTTTAATCTCTTAATACAATGAATGATACTGATTGATCCACAAATGTTAGCCCCACTTTGCATACCTGGAATAAGTCGCATTTGGTCATAATTTATTATTCTCTTTACATATTGCTCTATTCTATTTGTTAATTTTTTTGCATCTACGTTCATGAGGGAACTTGTATTAATTTACTTTTCTTGTAAAATCTTTATCAAGTTTTGGTATTGGGAATATGCTGACCTCATAAAAAAGTTATGAAGTATTTCCTCATTCCCTACTTTCTGAGTTTGTATAGACTTGGTGTCATTTCTAACTTAAAAGTTTGATAGACTTTACCAGTAAAGCCATCTGGATCTGGTGATTGTGTGTGTGCGTGTGAAGATTTTAAACTATGAATTCAAATCCCTTAATAGATATGGAGACATTCAGATTTTCTATTTTTATTCTTGTGCTAGTTTTGGTAAGTTGTGTCTTTTTTTTCCCCCAAGAAATTTGTTCATTTCATTTAAATTTTTGAATTTATAGGCGTAAAGTTGTATATAATATTTCCTTATCATTTTCAATGTGTGTAGAATTATAGTGATGTCCTTTCATGCCTGCTATTGGTTATTTGTGATCTCTCTATTTTTCTTTGTTATTAATGGTTGCTAATTTAATTATGCTCTGATCAGAAAAATCACATTCCCTATGGTTTAATTCCTTTGAAATGTATTGAGGTTTGTTTTATGGTCCAGCATATGTTCTATCTTGGTGAGTGTTCCATGTGCACTTGAAAAGCATGCATATCCTGTGACTGTTGGTGTAGTGTTTTATTTTTAATTAATTAATTAATTTTTTGAGTTGGAGTCTCACTCTGTCGCCCAGACTGGAGTGCTCCGGCAATCCTTCCACCTCAGCCTTCCAAGTAGCTGGAACTACAGGCATGCACTATCACGCCCAGCTAATTTTTTGATTTATTGTAGAGATGAGGTCTCGCCAAGTTGCCCTGGTGGGTCTCGAACCCGCGGGCTCAGGCAATCCACTCACCTCAGCCTCCCAAAGCATGGGATTACAGGCTGAGCCACCAAGCCCAGCTGGTGTAGTGTTTTATACGTGGCAATTAGATCAAGTTGTTTAATAGTATTGCTCGAATCTTCTGTATCTTTACTGAATTTTCAGTTTCTTATCCATCAATTATTGAGAGAGAAGTGTTAAAATCTCTAAATATGAGTATGGATTTGTCTATTTCTCTCTTTAGCTTTGTCAGTTTTTGCTTTGTGTATTTTTGAAACCTACCATTAGGCACGTAGATATTTAGGATTGTTGTATCTTCTTTATGAATTGATCCTGTTATCATTGTGAACAACTCTCTTTATCTCATGCAATATCCTTGTCTTGAAGTTTGTTTTGTGCGATATCAAGATGGTAACATTATTCTCTATTTGTCTTTTTCTATCCATTACTTTGGTTTTGTCTTTTTTGTTCATTCTTTTACTTTTACCCTGTCAGAATCTTTATACATTTAAGGTACATCTCTTTTTGAGTATATATTTAAGCTACAGCTATTTGAGTATTGCTAGTTTATCCTATTTGACAATCTCTGCCTTTTAATTGGAGGGTTTTATCTACTTACACTTAATGTAATTCTTGATATGGTTGAGATGAAATTACTATATTGTTCTTTGTTTCCTATTTATCCTCATTGCTATTTTTTCTTTTATTCTCTTCCCTGACTCCTTTTGGGTTAACTGAATAGTTTTAGAAGTTCATTCTGGTTCCTCTATTGATGTTTGATTTATACCTCTTTGTAACATTTTTATTTTTAGATATTGCTTTAGGATTTACAATATTAATCCTTAACTTATCAAAGTATACTTTGAATTAGCATTACACCAATTCACCTATACAATTCTGTTTGTGTTTCTTTTATCCTTTATGCTATTGCTGTCATATATTTTACTTCTACATCTGATATAAACACTATAATGTGCTATTAATATTATTTTTGCCTTAGGCAGCCTATTGACTTTTAAAGAAGTTAAAAAGGAAAACCTATATTTTTAATTTTATTTTTATTATAAAGGTGTGGGGTACAATTCAGGGCTAGGTATGCAAACGTTGATTATGCAGGTACCCTTGTTGATGAGGTATGCCCCTCCCTCCCCTGGCAGTTTCCCTCAACTGCCAATCCCACCCCCCCGCCCCTGATAGTTTCCCACTACTGCTAATCCCTTTCTTATAGTATATAATTGTTCAAGCTCTGCTTATGAGTGAGAACATATGGTACTCTGCTCTTTGTTTCTGTGATAGATCACTGAGTATGATCGACTCCAGATCCATCCAAGTTGTTGCAAAATCCATATGTTTGACCTTTATGGCTGCATAATATTCCATTGTGTTTATGTACCACATTTTTTAAACCCAGTCCAGCTTTGATGGGCAACATGGTTGGTTCTATGTTTTTGCTATTGTGAATAGAGCTGAAGCAAACATATGTGTGCAGGTATCTTTTTTGTAGAATGATTTGAGTTCCTCTGGGCATATTCCCAATAGGGGAATTGCTGGGTCATATGGAAGGTCAATTTCTAGTTCCTTCAGAAATTGCCACACTGTCTTCCAAAGAGGTTTCAATGGTTTGCGTTCCCACCAGCAGTGCAGAAGCATCCCTTTTTTTCCACGTCCTCACCAGCATCTGTTTGTTTTATTAATGATGGCCATTCTTACTGGGGTTAGGTGGTATTTCAGTGTGGTTTTGATTTGCATTTCTCTGACTATGAGTGAGGCTGAGCACTTTTTCATGTGTTAGTTGGTTGCCCATATATCTTCTTTTGAGAAGTGTCTATTCATGTCTTTTGCCCACTTTTTAAAGGGGCTGTTTGTTTTTTTCCTTTTGGCGCATTTGAGTTCCTTGTAGATCCTAGATATTAGGCCTTTGTCAGATATATAGTTGGCAAATCTTTTTTCCCATTCTGTGGGCTGTCTCCCTGCTTTCTTTTGCTTTGTAGAAGCTTGTCAGTTTGATGAAGTCCCACTTGTCTATCTTATTTCTTAAGGTATGGGCCTTTAGGGTTCTGAATAGGAATTGGTTGCCAATTCCAATTTCCATAAGGGTGTCTCCTGTGTTTTCTAAGATTCTTATAGTGAAAACCTATATTTTATATTTACCTACATATATACCATTTTATTGTTCATCATTCTTCTTGTAGATCTGAATTTTTCCTTTGATATCATTTCTCTTTAGGCTGAATAATTTCTTTTAACATTTTGAGTAGAATTAGTTGACTTGTGACAAATTTTTTGTTTTCATTTATATATAATGTCTTGGTTTTTTCTTTATTTTTGAAATATGTATTGGTTGTAGATAGAATTCTAGGTTGATAAGTGTTTTCTTCTAGCACTTCAAAGATGTTATTCCTCTGTCTTCTGGCCTTCATTTTTTTCCTGATAAGAATCAGTCATAATTCTTTTCATTGTTTCCTGCATGCATTTTTTCTCCCTTGGGCTGCCTTTGGGGTTTTGTCTCCATTTTGCTTTTGAGGATTTAAACTATGTCATGTCTAGGTGTGGTTTTCCTTGTAGTTATTCTGCTTGAGAATTGCTGAGAATCCTGGATTTGTGGAATGATGCTTTTGAACAAATTTGGAAAAATATTAGCCAGTATTATACTAATTATTTTTCTGCCCTGTCCTTTCTGGGATACCAGTTATATGCATGTTGGACTACTTGATACTGTTCTGCACGTCACTGGGGGGTTTGTTCACTTTCGTTTTGTTTTTGAGTTGTAGTCTCATTCTGTC